ACCTGCTGCTGCAGCAGCAGCAGCAACAGCTCAGTGAGGCTCCCCGACTGCGGCTGCAGTGCTGCAGTTTCAGGTGTACGTACACCGGAGGCCCTCAAGCAGGCAGTTGCTTCCGCTAGGGTTTAGGGTTTCCGCCGAGTGAGGGTTTAGGGTTTAGGGTTTAGGGTTTAGGGTTTAGCAGCCGCAGCACTGTTGACTCGCATTTAATTCGGACTTATTGTTTCTACAAGCAAAGAACAAACCAGTAAAAATAATAAATGAAAAGATGAAATAAATAAAAATAAATGCAAATGAATACAAACAATGCCATCAGCTGAAGACCTGCTGCTGCTGCTGCTGCTGCTGCTGCTGCTGCAGCTGCAGCAGCAGCAGCAGCAGCAGCAGGGCCCCTACGGGCTTCAAAATATACCTTTTTAAAAGGCCCCAGAGAGAGCAGCAGCAAAACCCCCGTTTGGTGGTTTAATAGCCATTTATTTTATTTTATTTTATTTTATTTTATTTATTTATTTATTTATTTATTTATTTTATTTTATTTATTTTATTTTATTTTATTTATTTTCCAATTCTTTCTTTTCATCCTTTTAAAGAAACCTCCGATGCAGGACCAGCGCCGCTGCCTTCTCGGAAAGCAGCAGCTGCACACGCCCACGCAAACCCCAAACCCTAAACCCTAAACCCTAAACCCCAAACCCTAAACCCTAAACCCTAGATCCAAGTCCTAAACCCTAGACCCTGAACCCTCGACCTGAGTGCTGAAGCGTAAACCCTAGATCGTAAACCCCACACCCTACAGGCCAAACCCTGAGCAGTAAACCCTCAACCCTAGCTCCAAACCCTAAACCCTAAACCCTAAACCCTAAACCCTAAACCCTAAACCCTCGCACCTGGCTGGGGAACTTTTATGATTCGCACGAAAACCAAAATTCCAGAAAAGCGCAAAAGACGAAAACGAGTGTCGTAAACCGGCACCCAGCGCAGCCTGCGGTGTACGTACACCCCACAAACCCTAAACCCTAAACCCTAAACCCTAAACCCTAAACCCTGAACCCTAAACCCTGCAATAAGGCGGAAGCTCCCCAACAGAATCATCTACTCGAATGGAACCCCGCCTGCGCGCTTGGCGCGCCCCACCCAAAACCCCAAACCCCAAACCCTAAACCCTAAACCCCAAACCCTAAACCCTAAACCCTAAACCCTAAACCCTCGGCTGACCCCGGGCGAATTGCGTCCAAAGGCATGCAAGAGAAGCACAACAGGTAGGGCCTGACGTCTGTGGTGTAAACTCGAAATAATAAAAGTGCTAAAGAAGAATTAAAAACCAAAAACTCAAAAGTGGCGTCTTCGTCCCCCCACCTGTACGTACACCCCAACCCACCCGCATGCATCAGCAGCAGCAGCAGCAGCAGCAGCAGCAGCAGCAGCAGCAGCAGCAGCAGCAGCAGCAGAAGCAGCAGCAGAAGCTTGCCTGGGGTTGAAGCAGTTGTTCGAAACTGCTCGGGTCCGGAAGCTGCAAGTGTCTCCTGCAGCAGCAGCAGCAGCAGCAAAAGAAGCAGTCACAGCAGCAGCAGCAGCAGCAAAAGAAGCAGTCACAGCAGCAGCAGCAGCAGCAGCAAAAGTAACAGCAGCGGCAGCAGTGTCGTCAATAACCAGCAGCTGCAGCCGCAGTACTGCAGCAGCAAGTGCAGTAGCGACAGCAGCAACCACAGCAGCTGCAGCAACACGAACCTTAGCAGCAACACAACTAGCAGCAGCAGCAACAACAGCAGCAGCAGCAGCAACACCGCTAGCAACAGAAGCAACACCACTAGCAGCAACACCACTAGCAGCAGCAGCAGCACCACTAGCAGCAGCAGCACCACTAGCACCAGCATAACCACTAGCAGCAGCAGCAGCAACAGCAGCACCACTAGCAGCAGCAGCAGCACCATTAGCAGCAGCACCACTAGCAGCGGCAGCAGCACCACTAGCAGCAGCAGGACCACTAGCAGCAGCAGCAGCACCACTAGTTGCAGCAGCAGCAGCGCCACCAGCAGTAGCAGCAGCAGCACCGCTAGCTGCAGCAGCCCCACTAGCAGCAGCACCAACTAGCAGCAGCAGCAGCAGCAGCACTAGCTGCAGCAGCCCCACTAGCACCAGCCGCACTAGCAGCAGCCCCACTAGCTGCAGCAGCAGCACCACTAGCTGCAGCAGCAGCAGCAGCAGCAGCAGCAGCAGCAGCAACAGCAGCAGCAGCAACAGCAGCAGCAGCAGCAACAGCAGCAGCAGCAGCAGCAGCAGCAGACTTCTAGCGCCGTGAATGGAGAGAGAAATGAAAGGGGCGTGGAGGTTTTTATTTCTTGCTGCTAATTTGTTTAAAGAAGTTCCCGGAGGCCGCGGCAGCTGGCTCGCAGCCACCACCTGCAGCAGCAGCAGCAGCAGCAGCAGCAGCAGCAGCAGCAGCAACTGCAGCAGCAGCACCCGCGCAGCAGCAGCACCAGCTGCTGCTGCTGCAGAACCCTAAACCCTAAACCCTAAACCCTAGAAGTTCACTTTAATTGTGAACTGGACGGCCTCAGCCTCGCCGTCACACCAACCCCAACCCCAAACCCCAAACCCCAAACCCTAAACCCCAAACCCTAAACCCTAAACCCTAAACCCTAAACCCTAAACCCTAAACCCTAGTTACTTTAATTGTGAAATGAAGAGCCTCAGACTCGCTGGGCATTTATCTTAAGGCGTCAAACCAGCCCCAACCACAACCCCCAAACCCCAAACCCTAAACCCCAAACCCTAAACCCCAAACCCTAAACCCTAAACCCTAAACCCTAAACCCTAAACCCTAAACCCTAAACCCTAGCTACTTTAATTGTGAAATGAAGAGCCTCAGCCTCGCTGGGCATTTCTCTCAAGGCGTAAAACCAACCCCAACCCCCAAACCCCAAGCCCTAAACCCCAAACCCTAAACCCCAAACCCTAAACCCCAAACCCTAAACCCTAAACCCTAAACCCTAAACCCTAGTTACTTTAATTGTGAAATGAAGAGCCTCAGCCTCGCTGGGCATTTCTCTCAAGGCGTCGAAAGGCCTCAAAGGACTTCGCAGCAAAGGGGGTTTCAAAACATAGCCGCCTTCGTTGCCCCCGTTTTCCAAAAACCTGCACGCAAACCCTAAACCCTAAACCCTAAACCCTAAACCCTAAACCCTAAACCCTAAACCCTAAACCCTAAACCCCTAAACCCTAAACCCTAAACCCTAAACCCTAAACCCTAAACCCTAAACCCTAAACCCTAAACCCTAAAACAAAACCCTAAACCCTAAACCCTAAACCCTAAACCCTAAACCCTAAACCCTAAACCCTAAACCCTAAACCGCAAACCCTAAACCCTAAACCCTAAACCCTAAACCCTAAACCCTAAACCCTAAACCCTAAGCTGACCACTGCCCTAAACCCTAAACCCTAAACCCTAAACCCTAAACCCTAAACCCTAAACCCTAAACCCTAAACCCTAAAACCCTAAACCCTAAACCCTAAACCCTAAACCCTAAACCCTAAACCCTAAACCCTAAACCCTAAATACAAACCCTAAACCCTAAACCCTAAACCCTAAACCCTAAACCCTAAACCCTAAACCCTAAACCCTAAACCCCTAAACCCTAAACCCTAAACCCTAAACCCTAAACCCTAAACCCTAAACCCTAAACCCTAAACCCTAAAACAAAACCCTAAACCCTAAACCCTAAACCCTAAACCCTAAACCCTAAACCCTAAACCCTAAACCCTAAACCGCAAACCCTAAACCCTAAACCCTAAACCCTAAACCCTAAACCCTAAACCCTAAACCCTAAGCTGACCACTGCTGGGTGGCGGTGCAGATGCGCTGCGCAGTGGACGGAGGGAGCTCGTGCACTTCTCTATTCTTTATAAACACCAAAAATATAAACCCCAAACCCTAAACCCTAAACCCTAAACCATAAACCCCAAACCCTAAACCCTAAACCCCTGCATGATTTAAAGTTTCTGCATATACTGCTTTCCCAACTCTTGTCAAATAAATTAAACCCTTTTCTGATGGAATTAAACCCTTTTGGAGGAACCAAAACCCTAAACCCTAATTGAGGGAATTAAACCCTTTTTCTCCTCCCCAAACCCTTCTCGATCTTCATAAACCCTTTTTGAATGCTTTAAACCCTTTTCCACTTTTCTAAACCCTTAATGTCTCTCTAAACCCTAATTCTATCCCCTAAACCCTATTTCCACCCCCTAAACCCTAATTGAGTCCGCGAAACCCTAATCCCCCCGTAAACCCTAATTCGCTCCTCCAAACCCTAATTAAGCCCTCCAAACCCTAACTGAGCCGCTCCCGCAAACCCTAATTAACCCAAACCCTAATTGAGAGCGGGAGGCCGCGAGGCGGCCCGCGGGCCGCGCGGGGCGCAAACCCTAAAAAAGGGTTTAGGGTTTGCGCGCCTGCCGTGGTTCAACATCGTGGCCAAGTTGAAACCCTGCAAGTTCAAAGCCACAATTTGGCAGCCGAAGTTCCAAGAAGTTGTTGGATTGAAATTCGAAGAAGACAAACGAGTGCCTGCGGGGTAAACCCTCGACAAGTGCTGCTGGTGAAACAAACCCCTGAACACACTCGCAAACCCTAAACCCTAAACCCTAAACCCTAAACCCTCGCCGAGTCCGCAGCCGCTCCCAAACCCTTTTGCTGCCTCGAGTGCAGAAAAAAGCAGCAAAAACGAATCGAAAATGGATTTTTAATCATTTTAAATCGTTTTACATCATTTAAAATCATTTTAAATCAATTAAAAGCATTTAAAATCATTTAAAATCATTTAAAATCATTTAAAATTATTTAAAATCATTTAAAATCATTTTAAATCATTTAAAATTATTTAAAATCATTTTAAATTATTTAAAATTATTTGAAATCATTTAAAATTATTTAAAATTATTTAAAATTATTTAAAATTCAGCAAATGGGAGAAGTCGGGAAGTGAAAGCAGCAAAAGGGAAGTCGAATGGTGCTTGAAACGTAGCTCTTGCTGCTGCTGCTGCTGCTGCTGCTGTTGCTGTTGCTGCTGCTGCTGCTGCTGCTGTTGCTGCTGCTGCTGCTGCTGCTGGGGTGTACGTACAGCTCGAGAGGCGACTGCTTGGCGAGCCGCAGCAGCTTCGACTCGTTCATAGAGCAAATGTCCATTGCTGAACAAAAAAGAAATAAATTAAATAAATAAATTAAATAAATTAAATAAATTAAATTAATTAATTAATTAATTAATTAAATTAATTAAATTAAATTAATTAAATTAATTAAAATAAATTAAAAAGGCAAAAGGAGGTGAAAGGAAATACAGCAACATAAATGAAGCGTTTGAGCAGCGCTAGCCGCTTGCTGCTGCTGCTGCTGCTGCTGCTGATTGTGCTGCTGCTGCTGCTGCTACTACTACTGCTGCTGCTGCTGATTATGCTGCTGCTGCTGCTGCTACTACTACTACTGCTGCTGCCGATTATGCTGCTGCTGCTACTACTACTACTACTACTGCTGCTGCTGATTACGCTGCTGATTGTGCTGCTGCTGCTGCTACTACTACTGCTGCTGATTATGCTGCTGATTGTGCTGCTGCTGCTGCTACTACTACTACTACTACTGCTGCTGATTATGCTGCTGATTGTGCTGCTGCTGCTGCTGCTGCTGCTGCTGCCTTGGTCGTTTCTCACGATTTCTGGGCTGGTCAAAGCCCTTGAGCTTCCGTCCCCTTAAGCAAATGTTCCTTTGAAACTGCAGCAGCAGCAGCAGCAGCAGCAGCAGCAGCAGAAAGCAGCATTAGCAGAAGCAGCAGCAGCAGCAGCAGCAGCAGAAAGCAGCAGCAGCATTAGCAGAAGCAGCAGCAGCAAGATGAGCGTGTACAAGGGCGCAGCAGCAAAGCGTGTCTGTAACATGCTGCCTGCTGCCTGAACAACAGCAGCACGAGCAGCAGCAACAACAGCAGCAGCAGCAGCAACAGCAGCAGCAGCAGCAGCAGCAACAAAAACGCACCGCTTTCAGTTTCTCGAGTTTTGCTGCTGCTCTTTCTGCTTTTGTGTCAGTGGCGCCTTCCGCGCTGCTGCCTGCTGCTGCTGCAGTGGCTGTTGCTGCGCTCCCCTCAGCAGTGTCCTCCCCCCCCGCAGCAGCAGCAGCAGCAGCAGCAGCAGCAGCAGCAGCAGCAATGCTGCTCGAGGACTGCTGGCCAAGCGACGCACTAGACCCCACAACTCTGGGATCGATCGATCCCATCCTGGGATCGATCGACTCCAGGTTTTCGTTTGCCCGCAGAAAGCCAACTGAAGAATTTTCCTTTTCCAATTCTGCTGCCAACTCCATCTCAAGTGCCTCCAGCTGCAGCAGCAGCAGCAGCAGCAGAAGCAGCAGCAAGTGGAGGGAGCACTCCGGCGCGGAGCAGCAGCACCAGCACCAGCAACAGCAGCACATGAGCAGCAGCAGCAGCACCGTCGCCAGAACTGCAGCAGCAGCAGCAGCAGCAGCAGCAGCAGCAGCAGCAGCAGCAGCAGCAAACAGCAGCAGCAGCAGCAAACAGCAGCAGCAGCAGCAGCAGCAGCAGCAGCAGCAGCAGCAGCAAACAGCAGCAGCATTGCAGCAGCATTGCAGCAGCATTGCAGCAGCATTGCAGCAGCATTGCAGCAGCATTGCAGCAGCATTGCAGCAG